TGGTTTTCACCTGAGGACGGCTGCTTGCGTTGTGGCCGAAACGTCGTGAGAATTGTTTTATTATGTTTTATTTTTATTATTTTATTACTTCCCTTCTACGTGACTTTACCGAAAGAACCAAGAAGATCTATGGGCAGTGTTGAGTCTATGGGTAGCAGTGTTGAATCTATGGGCAGTGTTGAGTCTATGGGCAGTGTTGAGTCTATGGTCAGTGTTGAGTCTATGGGCAGTGTTGAGTCTATGGGCAGTGTTGAGTCCATGGGCAGTGTTGAGTCCATGGGCAGTGTTGAGTCTATGGGCAGTGTTGAGTCTATGGGCAGTGTTGAGTCTATGTGCAGTGTTGAGTCCATGGGCAGTGTTGAGTCCATGGGCAGTGTTGAGTCTATGGGCAGTGTTGAGTCTATGGGCAGTGTTGAGTCTATGGGCAGTGTTGAGTCTATGGGCAGTGTTGAGTCTATGGGCAGTGTTGAGTCCATGGGCAGTGTTGAGTCTATGGGTAGTGTTGAGTCTATGGGCAGTGTTGAGTCTATGAGCAGTGTTGAGTCTATGGCAAGTGTTGAGTCTATGGGCAGTGTTGAGTCCATGGGCAGTGTTGAGTCTATGGGCAGTGTTGAGTCTATGGGCAGTGTTGAGTCCATGGGTAGTGTTGAGTCTATGGGCAGTGTTGAGTCTATGGGCAGTGTTGAGTCTATGGGTAGTGTTGAGTCTGAGCAGTGTTGAGTCTCTGGGCAGTGCTGCGTCTATGGACAATATTGAGTCTATGGGCAGTGTTGAGTCCATGGGTAGTGTTGAGTCTGAGCAGTGTTGAGTCTATGGGCAGTGTTGAGTCTATGGTTAGTGTTGGGTCTACGGAGCAGTGTTGAGGCTATGGTGCAGTGTTGAGTCTATGGACAGTGTTGAGTCTATGGGCAGTGCTGCGTCTATGGACAATATTGAGTCTATGGGCAGTGTTGAGTCCATGGACAGTGTTGAGTCTATGGGCAGTGTTGAGTCTATAGGGCAGTGTTGAATCTATAGGGCAGTGTTGAGTCTATTGTGCAGTGTTAAGTCTATGGGCAATGTTGAGTATATTTGGACCGGGACACCAACTGGAGCTTTACAGCTAATCGGATTTCTCCAGTATAGCTACATATTCTGATTCTCTTGCGAATGGCGTCACGGGGTCTTTAATGCCCCACTCCGAGTGAAGTGGGCTCGGTGCGTAAAAGTGTTTTGTTGTGGTTTCGGGTCAATGTACGAATTGCACACGAACGCACGGCGACAATTCACCCGTATCAGTAGTAGTGTTAACCAGGGCGGCCGTGGGAAAGCAGAAGCCGCCAAAACACGCGCGACTCGCTTCCTCTGTGGGGTGGCGGTCTACCCCCCCACACCCTCCCCCGTCGTGTCACCGCCCCCAGAATTGACGACAACAACTGGTTGATTTGGCCGCCTTGACGATGTGAATCGACGAGCTGCACTGAGCCGTGGTCTCAAGGGACAGAAACCGCATTCATCGTATTACATTGTTGAATTAAGTGACTTACACGTAGAATAACAGATTGGATGAAATTATACGTGCGCATTTATTTTCATTTACAAACGTTATCTCTAGGTTGGATCTCAACCACTGTGTTATATTCGCTGCACTGAACAGCTGAGCGTTAAACCTCTCGCACAGCCCTCGAGAGGGCTCTCACCCAGATAAAGAATCCGCGAAGTAGCATCACTTACGGTGACTTTCAGACCGCATTCCATGCTCTTCCTCTCTCCCCTCCTCTTTTCCGAACATAGATGGACTCGTCCATCTGACCAACTGCCATTGTATCACACACACATCAATGTATCACGCATACACGTCAATGTATCACGCATACATCTGAATGTATATGAAGGCGTTGTCGGCCAATTACTGAGTGCTTGCATTTGGGAGGAAACCGTGGCACCCGGTCAAAACTAACGCGTGCGAGTGAGGGGGGAACACGCTATCCCATATGGATGCAACAGGGTGGAGTTCAATATTTTTGCTGTTATCTCCTTCTCCAGGCGAGCCAGGGGCCATGGACGGTTCATCCAAGACAACAAGTGCGAAAACAAACAGGTACGAAACAGGCTTTTCAATGGACACACACTATTGTTTGCACTCAAATGTTTGAAAATTAATTATTTTGATCTCCACCAGAATCAATCAATTATTGATGTGCTCAATAAAAGTGGATGGCTTCCTTTCGATGTTTCATTTTCTTGATGCAAGCCACCAACTTTTATTGAGCACATTAACATTTGATTAATGCTGGGGTCAAAATAATATATTTTCAAACTTTTAAGTGCAAATAGAAGTGTGTGCATTGTTTTTTGTATCTATTTTTTTTATTGTTAATCTTGTTCAAAAAACAATTTGCATATATAAACATTCGTTCTAAGATCTCAATCCGGACAATAACAATTGTTCATTATTGTATGGAAAATTCTAATCTATTTAAAATAGAGCACTCACATTTGTAGCACACAAAAAAAAAATACGCAAAGTGGTTCAGAATCGGCGAGACCTGGATCGGTTTTTTAAATTAAATCTTTAATTGTCACGCGAGACAACTACGAGCCTGTGTACACAATTTCAGCTCGCTTGGCCTCGTAGATCCGAAGATATTCAGCGTCAAAGATTTGAAAGAATATAAACAGACAGCAGTAGGACATGCTTTCCCACCTGATGACGGACGCTTGTGTTGCGCCCGAAACGTCGTGATTTAATTTAGTTATTTTCATTTAATTTATTTAATTTTTTTACCTACGTGACTTTACCGAAAAAAACAAAGAGTATGAATCCTTGCAGTCACGAAAGCTTCAAATTTAAAACAACACATGCTCTGATAATAGCAAAACACCTGGGGTTGGTCAATCAGTTTCGAAGACAACGCGGATATTAAATTTCGATTTAATGCTTTCGTGACTGCAGGGATTCATCTTCTTGGTTCTTTCGGTAAAGTCACGGAGAAGGGAAATAATAAATAATAAAAATAAAACATAATAAAATAATTCTCACGACGTTTCGGCCACAACGCAAGCAGCAGACTCTGTCTTTCCGACAGACCTGATCTTCACCTGAGGACGGCTGCTTGCGTTGTGGCCGAAACGTCGTGATAATTATTTTATTATGTTTTATTTTTATCATTTTATCATTTCCCTTCTACGTGACTTTAACGCATATATTACCAGAGCGTGTCTGTTTGCATGTTCACCACAACCGCCTTGTATGCTTAATGTCGACTTGATGCCATGGAAAATGAATCTATTTGATGTTTGAACATTTTAACACCTCCTGTCCAATTGCCAGAAAGGGTAAACCTATTCTTATTCATCATATTTTGATTCTAGCAACAACAAAAAAGGTCTCCCATAATAGCAACAATTCCAATCTAGCGGGATCCTATAGAGCGGCTATGTTCACATAAATATGTTATTATTATCATCCATTTGTGCAAATGATTCACGTACGTATGTCGAAATTCTTTCGCACGGCACGGAGCCGAATGGACAACAAACTCAACACACACACACACAAATGATAACTCTCTGACGTAGGCTTTGAATGGCGCGACGTACCGCGCATAACGCAACACAATCACTCGGTTCGTTGCGGAGAATGTTAACCACGAGATAAGCCGACAGCTGCTTGCCGCCTTCACACGTGCGCGTCCCTCGGCGTAGACATTAAATTAAAATTAGTTTTTTTTCTTCTTCTTCTTCTTCTTCCAACGAGAATGTGTGTCAATGGATGCATTGTCGTGATAACGAGTGAGTGAATTCAGAGATATAGGCATATGGGTGAGTGAGTGAGTGAGTGGGCGAATGACTGCGTAGGTATGTGAATGAGTTAATGAAAAGTGTGTGTGTGTGAATGGGTGAATGGATGATACCGGAGCGGTAGTGTAACGGTTAGCGCTACGCTGCGCTACGAACCCGGCGACCCGATTTCGATTTTCGCTCACGGCCAACCCCCAGTGATTAATTATTATCTGAACCGGTCCTAGGCCTCCCCTAGGTCGACTCAGTCCCAAATTAGTACCTGGTGCGGTCGGGCGTGGTGCTGGCCACCCATCCCCTCGCTATATGGGGGGTCTTTGTCTTGTGAGCGAATGCATGAATGGGAGTTGAATTGCTGAATAAAGGAGATAACGTTTGAATAGGCGAGGAAGTTGAATGTTCGGATGGAAGAACGCGTGAGCAAATGGATACGTTCATACGTGTTATGGATAGACGTGTGGAAGAGTGAATGAACGCGTGGACGCGTGAGTCTGCGAGGGAATGGATGGACACGATGAATGGTTGGCTGTATATGTGATTGCATGAATGAATGGATAGGCATGTGATTGAGTGAATGCATTGGTGGGCGTGCGAGTGAGTGAACGAGTAGGCATGTGAATGGGTGAAATAATTGAAAGGCATGCGAATGAATGGGCGCTTGAGCGAGTGAATTTGTGGACATGTGAATTCCTGAGTAAATTAATAGATAGGCACGTGAAGGGATGGTTGAATGAATGAATAGGCATGTGAATGAATGGCTGAATTAATGAATAGGCGCGTGAATGAATGGTTGAAATAATGAATAGGCGCGTGAATGAATGGTTTAATTAATGAATATTCATGTGAACGAATGGTTTAATTAACGAATAGGCGCGTGAATGAATGGTTGAACTAATGAATATTCACGTGAACGAATGGTTTAATTAACGAATAGGCATGCGTACGAGTGAGTGAGTGAAGTGGCGAAGGGAACGAGTAGCCCGGGGGTTCAGTCGAGGTCGCGTGCGTGTTGATGTCGACACCTGCTGGGCGTGTGAACAGGCACAGCGTGCACGCGCGGCGCGCTCGCCTGCCGTTCGTGGGCAGGCTGTGAATTGTTAAGGGACGCGTGCGTGCGCGTGCGTGCGCGTGCGTGCGCGTGCGCGTGCGTGCCAACCGTCGCGTGAACGCCGCTGATCACTTGACGCCTGCAAGGCACTCGCGGTCACTGCGCTTCTGGGCGTGGAGCGGCGGCGCGGCGGTCAGCAACCCCCAAGCGACCCGATTGGCATCGACTCATCAACATGCGAGTGATTACCATTGTGGGGGTGGTGTCATATTGGAGGTGATATCATTGTGGGAGTGATTTCCTAGTGGGAGTGATATCAATGTGTGGTTGATATCACTGTGGGGGTGATAACAGTGCGCGTGTGATATCCGTGCGTGGGTTATTTTTGGTTTCGCCGTCCCACTTCCTTCACGAAGCAGCAAGGACCAGCGTGGTGAAGTATGGTCAAAACAACCCCTCTACGAGTGACACAGTGTGAGCAAGGCCTTCATCCAGCAGTGGATTGACAAAGGGCTGTAGAAGATTACTTTTTCATCTTCTTCATATTATCCAAATATTCCACCTTCATCGTATTACTTTGTTGAATTAAGTGACTTACACGTAGAATAACAGATTGGATGAAATTATACGTGCGAATTTATTTTCATTTACAAACGTTATCTCTAGGTTGGATCTCAACCACTGTGTTATATTCGCTGCACTGAACAGCTGAGCGTTAAACCTCTCGCACAGCCCTCGAGAGGACTCTCACCCAGATAAAGAATCCGCGAAGTAGCATCACTTACGGTGACTTTCAGACCGCATTCCATGCTCTTCCTCTCTCCCCTCCTCTTTTCCGAACATAGATGGACTCGTCCATCTGACCAACTGCCAAATCGCTGCCCGTGGTGCTGACGTTAAGATAAAAACCTCCACTTTTTTCAAATGTTCTTGCCGTGGATTTCACACCCGATGACGATTGCTTGTGTTGCAGTCGAAACGTCGTGAAAATTGTATTGTTTTCTATTTTTATTATTATTTTATTATTTCCCTTCTACTGTGACTTTACCGAAAGAACCAAGAATATGAATTCCTGCAGTCACGGAAGAAGCTTTACATCGAAATTTAACTTGTGTCGTGTCATAGTGCCGGCTGGTGGACAACAGCGGCAACTGTGGTGGACAGATAATACACACGCCGGTGAGGTGTGTTGGCAGAGGGGAGGAACTAGGTCAAGGGTCACGGAGGACCCCATCTGGAGGCCCCTGGAACCTGCTAGCGGGTTCGAGAAGGGAGGCGTGGTCAGGGCGGAGCCAGGCCGCGCTGGGAGCATAAAAGGAGCCGAGAGCGGGGGGCTCGGGGCTGCCGGTTCTGGGAGTGGACTCGGCTCGTCGTCGCTGTCGCCGTCGTCGCTAAACGTCTCCGCTAGATGTTGTGCTGGAAAGGAGAGTAGTTGGCTATCTCAGTCAGCGCCGTCAGTGTTAGACGGCTGGTGTTGTGTACATGCTGCTGTGGAGAGTGTGCGGACGTGACCGTGAAAGTTGTTCATGAAGAAAGTGCCTCCTAGAGCCTCTGTCTCTGAATCGTTGATACTACACTTGCATTGGCCTGCTGGTGCCTTGCCCAACCACACACCCACCCTTCTGGTGGCAATAGCTACGAGTTGGAGGGGGGTCCCCCCCCCCCCTGGAAACCATCGTGTGATTTGTTTTCAACATTTTTGCGAAGACGGAGCGCGCCCCCTACAGCATTAAATGTTCGAGACCGTGAGCGTAACGGTGATGTGGTTTAGGGCAAGAGGAGGCCGTGAAAAGTAATAGCCTCGAGGGTGCGACCATTCGAGACAAACCACATGGTGGTGGGGGATTGCGTAATTGCGTCGTAGCATGACGTCATGGCATGCCATCATTGCTCTGCGGGCATTACCTTTTTTTTGTTCGACTTGGCTTTTGAACGCGCCTGCTGATCTCAGGCACGAGTCAGTCCTGCTGTCGTTAATCGTCGAATTTAGAACACAGATATCGTGACTCATACTTGATTTCTTTTGGGTGAGACGGTTTTTTGGGTTAGACAGTCGTGTGGAAGGCGTGTATTTTTTAAAACATAACCATCCACCACCTAAACAAACTAAACTATGTCTTATTTTACCAGGAAAAGACCCCACTGAGCTACAATGTAGCTCTTTTTCAGAAGCGAGCTGGCTATCACAAATTATAGCTCAACCAAGCGGCTTATCGCGTGGGAATTTACAGCAGCCAAATATTCTGAACGCGTGATGGAGGGAGAAAAACCCGGAGAGTCCGGAAAAAAAATCCAAGGGGAGGAAGAGAGACACGCAACCTCCAAATATACAGCAGCAGGCGTCAGGGTCGGGATCGAACCCACGACCTCCTGTATACCAGGCGAGGTAGTTAACATCTCGCCACCTGACAAAGACAACCAACTAAAGTTGTCGCGCCACGGGCATTATGTCACTTGGGACTTGTGCGAGCCAAGGGGCAGGAATTCGATACTCCGTCGCCGGCGTTAAGAACGCAGCGAGTGCACCACTGGGGTACGTTTTCTTAATTGATTGGCAAGATAACAAAGCGTGTAACCATGACCATCAAATGTAAACGCACTCATTCGTTGGCTGAAAACATTTTAATATATAGAGGACCGCAGAGCTTGGGCAAGTGTTGGTAGAGCCGGCTCCTCGTTCATCACCGCGTGACTGCTGTTGCTGCTGCCTTCTCGCTCATCTTGGGTTCCTCCTCCTGGCGCCTCCGAGTCGTCCTCTCTCTCTGAGTCGTCCCCTCTCTCTGGGTCATCCTTTCCGAGTCGTCCTCTCTCTCTGTGTCGTCCTCTCTCTCTGAGTCGTCCTCTCTGAATCATCCTTTCTCACCTATCGTCCTCTCTCTCTCTTTCTGAGTCGCTCTCTCTCTCTGAGTCGTTCTTTCTCTCTCTCTCTTTCTGAGTCGCCCTCTCTCTCTGAGTCGTCCTCTCTGAATCATCCTTTCTCACCTATCGTCCTCTCTCTCTCTCTTTCTGAGTCGCCCTCTCTCTCTGAGTGGTTCTGTCTCTCTCTCTCCGAGTCGCCCTCTCTCTCCGAGTAGTCCTCTCTGAATCATCCTTTCTCACCGAGTCGTCCTCTCTCTCTCTTTCTGAGTCGCCCTCTCTCTCTGAACACCGCGTGACGGCACAGCGTTGCGCAGCTTCACATGATTCATTAGCATCATCATTTTCCCTGCCCTCCGAGTTCACTCGTACCAAGTTGGGAAAAATTACTCCGCTAATTTGCCCAGCGGGGGGAATACACACGGCTGTAGCAACAGCAGCAGCAGGAGCAATCGACGCCGTACTGGCACGACTAATGGCTACTTGGCAGGGCCAGATGCTGAGTCACATTGTGCTGCACAGGGACAGCTGCCAAGGTGTGGGGGGGGGTGCCCTTTGAATTATTCAATTGAGATGTGATAGAAGGCGCTGCTTTGAGATGCTGACTCCACTATTTTTTTTGTTATTTTACCAGGTAAGCCTGCTATCACAAATGATAGCTCAACGAAATGGCTTATCACGTGGAAATGTATATCAGCCAAAAATACGCTAAACGCCTGCTGATTATAAATGTGGAGGGATAAACCTGAAGGACCAGAAGAAAAATCCACGAGACCACGGGCGGAGAGAGAGATGCGCAAACTCTAAATATATCGGCGTCCAGGAAGGGATCGAACCCACGACCTCCCGTGTGCCGGGCGAGGTATCTACCATCTCGCCACCGTGGTGGCACAAAGCATCGTCCTATAAATGCTAACCCAATAATAATTATTACTACTACGACGGCTATGATGCTGGCGAACTCCTTCGCTTCCCGTTATCGGTTGATTGCCCTTCACATCGTCGCAACAACTCAAACAAAAACACCCGCGCGATCATTCCGTGGTCTCCCAACAACGCCGCCTCGTTCCTCATCTCCAACCCAACATTCGGTCACGGGGTGCAGCAGCAGCTGCAGCAGCCGGGATTCAAAGCGGACACGGCACACCGCAGGAATAAATATGATACACGCCGTCAAATAACTATTGCGCCACAACACGCAACAACAAGAACAGCACACACACAAAAAACACCCGTGCATCCGGTACGATGTTTCACGAGCCAAAATAATTATAATGATGATAACACGATGCCCGATTACCCCCCCTTCCCCTCTCCCCGTGCTTGGCTCGGAGGTCAGAGGTCAGAGAGGGTGCCGGGTTGGCGCCACCATGGAGAGGGCCTTGGCGGTTAGGGTGGCTGTGTTTTTCGGCCGAACACGTGTTTCAAACTGGGTTCTCGAAAGGGTGGCAATCGAGGGGATTGGTCTCAGCCCGACCGTCAATGACTGGAACCCTTAATTTAAAAATAAAAATTACGTGACAAAAAAAACGCCATCACTTTAAAATCGGATGCCGCACTTAATTTGTCTGAATTTCATCTCGTATGATTAAATCTGTCGTGATAATATGGCTTTCCCCTTTTTTTCTGGTAACAAAACAGGTGTTGAGATGTTAAAACGCCAAACTGAAACCTTTTACAAGGAACCACAATGTTTGTGGTCAAAATGCAAACACAAAACATACTCTGATAATATATCGGTTCGACCGTCATGTCGCGAACGTTGCTCTTATGTGGCAGAGTAGGCGGGATAGCGGTGCCCTCTACTGCGTGGCCCAGAGGGGGCACTTGGCATACTCTGCCATGCTGGCCAGAGGTGGCAGTTACCCACGCTTTAACCCGCCGCACCTGCTGATCGACCGACCAACCTTAGCGTGCTCATTCACACCGCTGGGGTGGGCGGAGGAGAGGGCATGTGTATAAGGAACTCGCTGACCCCACCCCCCTACCCCGTCGTTTCTAATCCCGGCGCCATCGGGAGATGGAATCGAATTCCGGTGGCGCCAAGAACCGACCTACTACTACGACGGGCGTCGTCGTAACCACTAACAAAAAAATGACTACAATAATTTTGCGCGCAACGTGAAGTTAAAAAAAAAGTTAACGGACGCAATGCGTTGAATAGTGTGGACGTGTCAGGCCCAGGCCTTGCAGCTGCTCATTTCCCCAGGCCGTGCCATCACCACCGCCGCCGTCACCCCACCCCGCCGCGGCGTGGCCACACCCCCCGACCCGCCGCCCCATCAGGGCGACAGCAGCAGCAGCAGGAACATGTTGAGGGCCTCCTCCAGCAGCGGCTCCAGCTCGTGGATGAACTTTCTGAGCATGCGGCTGTGCTGCTGGCGCTCCTCCTCCAGATCCTGCGCTATCAGCTGCTCGACGTCGTGGCTCTTCGTCACGAACGCCTCCTCGGCCACCTGCGGGACTCGCCACGCGCGCGGACGTTCATTGTTGTTATTATTGTTGTTTACACCATTGGAACCTCATTTGCCAGTAAAAAATATGATCATTGTTTTTTTACGCTTCTATCTGGCAACAAAACTGACACCTTTTTTACAAGGAGTCATGTTTGCATAGACCACAATACCTGCAGTCAGAGTTATGTTTTTTGTTTGTATTATGACTGCAGGTATTGTGGTCTATGCAAACATGACTCCTTGTAAAAAAGGTGTCAGTTTTGTTGCCAAATAGAAGGGTAAAAAAACAATTATAATTATTGTTGTTGTTCGCGGAAACGGCGCGCTTGGGGGCGATGGTGAGACGTTATCTCCCTTGCCTGGTATGCAAAGAGGTTGTGATTTCGATCCTGACCATGCGGCCGATCTCGACGGATCTCCGAAGCTGAGCAGTGAGTGGAACCGGGTCGTGTTTTGGATGGGCGACCGGCGTGCGGTGTTATAGGACCACTGTAGTGCCACGCAGTGGGCCACAGGGTGTCACGGGGATCATGAGAGAGATGGCGGTGGCTCGGAGCGGCCTCCATCCAGCAGTACATCGATAAGGGTGGTTGCTGTGTGTGTGTATGGGTGGGGGGGGGGTGAGGGGGGGTGGCAGGACGAAGGAGGCACCTGGGTTTCGTTCTTGATGGCCTGCATCTTGATCTCATTCTGAATGTCCCGCTCCGCAGTCGCCCTCTGATCCCGCTCCTGGCGCTTGCTCCGCTCGTCGCTCACTGCCAAACCAAAACGCAAACGACAACAATCGCAGAGAGCCGCATGCGACAGAGTCGGCACAGTGGCCTGAGACCAGCAATGCGGCCGGTCTCGACGGATCCTCGGAAGTTAAGCAAGGGAGCGAAACTGGATAGCGCTTTGGATGGGTGAACACCGTGTGGAGTTATAGACCACTGTAGGGTCACGCTGTAGGGTCACACTGTAGGGTCACACTGTAGGGTCACACTGTAGGGTCACACTGTAGGGTCACACTGTAGGGTCACACTGTAGGGCCATGCTGTAGGGTCACACTGTAGGGTCACACTGTAGGGTCACACTGTAGGGTCACACTGTAGGGTCACACTGTAGGGTCACGCTGTAGGGTCACGCTGTAGGGTCACGCTGTAGGGTCGCACTGTAGGGTCACACTGTAGGGTCACACTGTAGGGTCACGCTGTAGGGTCACACTGTAGGGTCACACTGTAGGGTCACGCTGTAGGGTCACACTGTAGGGTCACGCTGTAGGGTCACGCTGTAGGGTCACACTGTAGGGTCACACTGTAGGGTCACACTGTAGGGTCACACTGTAGGGTCACGCTGTAGGGTCACACTGTAGGGTCACGCTGTAGGGTCACACTGTAGGGTCACACTGTAGGTCACGCTGTAGGGTCACACTGTAGGGTCACGCTGTAGGGTCACACTGTAGGGTCACACTGTAGGGTCACACTGTAGGGTCACAGCTGTAGGGTCCACACTGTAGGGTCACGCTGTAGGGTCACACTGTAGGGGTCACACTGTAGGGTCACACTGTAGGGTCACACTGTAGGGTCACACTGTAGGGTCACACTGTAGGGTCACACTGTAGGGTCACACTGTAGGGTCACACTGTAGGGTCACACTGTAGGGTCACACTGTAGGGTCACACTGTAGGGTCACACTGTAGGGTCACACTGTAGGGTCACGCTGTAGGGTCACACTGTAGGGTCACACTGTAGGGTCACGCTGTAGGGTCACGCTGTAGGGTCACACTGTAGGGTCACACTGTAGGGTCACACTGTAGGGTCACACTGTAGGGTCACGCTGTAGGGTCACACTGTAGGGTCACACTGTAGGGTCACACTGTAGGGTCACACTGTAGGGTCACACTGTAGGGTCACACTGTAGGGTCACACTGTAGGGTCACACTGTAGGGTCACACTGTAGGGTCACACTGTAGGGTCACACTGTAGGGTCACACTGTAGGGTCACGCTGTAGGGTCACGCTGTAGGGTCACACTGTAGGGTCACGCTGTAGGGTCACACTGTAGGGTCACACTGTAGGGTCACGCTGTAGGGTCACGCTGTAGGGTCCACACTGTAGGGTCACACTGTAGGGTCACCTGTAGGGTCACGCTGTAGGGTCACACTGTAGGGTCACACTGTAGGGTCACGCTGTAGGGTCACGCTGTAGGGTCACGCTGTAGGGTCACACTGTAGGGTCACACTGTAGGGTCACGCTGTAGGGTCACACTGTAGGGTCACACTGTAGGGTCACGCTGTAGGGTCACGCTGTAGGGTCACGCTGTAGGGTCACACTGTAGGGTCACACTGTAGGGTCACGCTGTAGGGTCACACTGTAGGGTCACACTGTAGGGTCACGCTGTAGGGTCACACTGTAGGGTCACGCTGTAGGGTCACACTGTAGGGTCACACTGTAGGGTCACACTGTAGGGTCACACTGTAGGGTCACGCTGTAGGGTCACACTGTAGGGTCACGCTGTAGGGTCACGCTGTAGGGTCACACTGTAGGGTCACACTGTAGGGTCCACACTGTAGGGTCACACTGTAGGGTCACACTGTAGGGTCACGCTGTAGGCCGCAGACGGAAGTGCACTGTATATATTGATGTACAGTACTGTTCTGCGGGCGCCGCGGTGGCGAGATGCTACCTACCTCCCCTGGTATGCAGGATTTGGTGGGTTCGACCCCGACCCTGAAGCCCGTTGCATATTTGGAGTTTGTGTCTCACTCTCTTCCCGCGGCCGCCTGGATTTTTCCTCTGGGCACTCCAGTTTTTCCCCTTCACATTTAGAATCAACGTCGCGCGTTTAGAGTATTTGGCCGCTATAAAAATGTTCACGTGATAAGCCACTTTGTTGAGCTATCATTGATGATTGCCAGGTCGCATCTGAAAAAGAGCTCTATAGCCTAGTGGGTCTTACCTGGTAAAATAAAAACAAAACAAATTAGTTATAGGCTATTCTCCCACATCTACTGCTTCCCAACGTCACGCTGACCAGCGCGGTGGAATATGGAGAGGGCACTCGATCCAGCCACGGACTCGCAAAAGGCCCGCTGCGTGTTTACGCTCACAATCGCTTCCGTGAGCCACAAAAAAATTTAAACGAATCTGCACGCGCGTCATGAGCGTGCCCTCCTCCCTCGGCGTGCGTGAGGTTTTCTCCAACTCTGGCTGTCGCCTGATGATGCCGGTCGTAGTTACTGGCAAAACGTCCCGGTACTCGAATTGTGAATGTTGTGGGTTTACTCTCCAACACACAAACACACACAACGGTTGGTGCTGAACGAGTAACGAATTTGGCACGTTATCTTTCCGTGACGAACCTTAACTAATCGGCTTCGTCGGGTTCTGGTGGTGGGCGTGTTTAACGACGACATTTATATTTGCGCGATCTAACCACGAAAAAACGAAAACAATCGATTATGGATTTCCTAATGGCCCAAACGGCTCACAGCTGAACTCCCCTCAGCAGAGTCCTGGGACTCAACGAGGATTTCCTGCGTTGATTAAAAATAAAATGCATTGTTATTACCACTACAATTCCCCTTTTCTGTGATACAATACATTAAACAGCACTTTTTTAAAGAAATGTGGGGGGGGGGGGGGGCGGGAGTTATATCCGTGGGCATCTTTCGTATTTTTATGCCTGTGGGTATTTTCGATGGGCGATGGGTAATTAAATGTCATGGCCAGGGGGCCCTTCTTTACAAATTAGTCTGTGGTACTTGCTCACGAGCCGTGGATCCATTTAAGATTGGTCCAAGGGCTCGTCCAAAGATTTGCTCATTAGCTTCGGAGAGGTAAGATTCACCCGAGATATTTAAAAGAAATGACCCCACAGTTAGAACAGATTCCACCCTTGTAATCGTAGTAATTGGAAACACATTCCGCTGAGCAGTCCATTTTCCCCCCAACTTATTTCATTTTTGCCCCTCCCTCTCTCGTCCAGGGCTTTATTCCTCGCTGAATATTCCTCCCGGTTTGCCGTGGTTGGTGATGCTTAGCGCAGAGGTCGCCAGTTCCGCACTGGACGTCCCCGCGTGGCAGCTGAAACAACCGCGCGCGGCGTTCTTAAATCTCCATCGGCCTCTCCTCCGTCCGCAGCAGCGCGAATTAAAACGGCGCTATGAGTCTATCGGCAAGGTCATCGTCGTGGGGTGAACCGTGAGTACTCTCGCAACTATTCCTCCGAGACGTCTAGGCACCACGTGGAAGAGTAGGCCAAACATTCCCTACAGAGGGGCCTTGCCGACAGATGTGGCGGGAATTTCAGGGCTGCACGTCAACATGTTTCTTACCCTCTTGGCCGCTGGTAGACCGGAGTAAGCACGTTGATAAGTCGGCACAGCCATAGCGAGAGGCGTACAGACAGACCAGGCAAAAAATAAACAAATTAAATCTCTGGCTACCATCATCAGGCCGTGAGCGACATTGTCCTCTGCCAGTTCAGTCGCTGAAGTCAAACACCGCCTCCCCCCCCCCCACTTTGTTCAATGTCACCGCCCGTTACATCAATCATGTTCCGGCGGAGAGGGGCTTAAGAGATAAGAATGAAAGCGACCTTTTATATTCAAAGACGAATTTCATTTTCGCGTGCGGCCGGTTTTGCGCTGCGTGTCTGGAGTATTCAGTTCGCAGACCAGGGTGGGTTTAGAGAGGCGATTGCGAGGCTGCACTTTTTGCCTCTTTACCTACAAGCTCAAATCGTTGGATGGGGTTTTTTGACTCGGCAAACAACAATCCCTCCCAACAAAATGCGCCTGGCATCGTGGGAAGCGCCGAAAACCTCTCTGGCTCCCGGCATAGAAATGTGGAATGCCCATCGCTCCCATTATGGTTCGCAGCCAATGAAGACGAATCTCGCATGAGCAAGGAGAGGACGTGGGCGCAGATGAGAAAAAAACGAGCTTTGTAGCTCTTCGGATTCCTCCGGAATAAATAAATATTATGATTCTGAATTGGGGAAGGTGGCCCAGGTGGATGAGAGACGCTGAGCCGACACAGCTGAGATCCTGGGATCAGAATCCAGCCACTGCATGTGACTGAACTGGCGTGCGTCTCAAGTGTGCGGTGAGTTGATGATCTCAGCCCGGTCAGCAATGAATTCACATTGAAAATGAAATAAGTAAAAGCATCACATACTCTTAGTTCTTTCGGTAAAGTCACGTAGGTAAAAAATGAAATTAGAATGAATAAAAATAAAATAATAAAAATCACGACGTTTCGGAGGCAACACAAGTCTCCGTCATCAGGTGGGACCGTCACAGCCAGATTTGCTGCATCAAGTGATGCAGCAAATCTGGCTGTGACGGTCCCACCTGATGACGGTCCCACCTGATGACAGAGACTTGTGTTGCCTCCGAAACGTCGTGATTTTTATTATTTTATTTTTATTAATTTTAATTTCATTTTTTACCTACGTGACTTTACCGAAAGAACTAAGAGTATGAATCCTTGCAGTCACGAAAGCTTCAAATCTAGAATTAAAAGCACCACGTAAAATCTGGGTTTACACTTAACTTGTTCTAACTTCCAGCTGTCGAGACTTTAAACGTCAGTTTGAGTTTCACGCGATTTAACATTACTCTCCTGTGCGCTGTGTGGCCCAGCGGTGTTTTGAACCTGGAATGGATCTCAGAGGTGGCTCTCTGATATCATCTTCACCAGTTCGCTCCAGAACACGCGGGGTTCCTCTGGTTTGCGCGATCCAAATGGATTGTTCGTGTCATTACGTGGCGCCTACAGCACGGATTAGGATTAATTACAAAGTGAAAGCGATCTCTTGCTCAAATGAGCGTAGACGAGGCAGTTGCTCATATTCCACTTTTAGCCCTGCAGCCAGTGGTGGGAATTCTACATTCCTATGGTGGGTGGGTGGGGGGGGAGAGGTGCGAGTCTTTCTCGTTGTGACTAACGCAATAAAGCGGTACACTCATGTTATCGACCACGGTGACAATTATGGGCCGACTTTGCATTGAGAGGACGAAAATTATAATTTGAAAATGTCAATAAGATAGAGAGAGAGAAAGTGGGAGGGTGGTGGTGAATTTGCAGGGGGGGGGGGAGGTGGGGCTGGATGACAGGGGCACGTGGCCAGGTATGAGCGAGCGTAACCACGGTCGGGATTCACTTACGCCGCTCCGTGCTAAGATTAACCCAGGCGATCATTGCCATCAAGACACGAGACAGCTGCCCAGGGCCGCCCCCCACACCCCCTCCCCCCACCCCGAGAGCACCAGATTTAAATAAAGAAAAAAAGCTACATTTTTAATTCTCAGTGATGGAATCGGCCAAAGATAGTAAATAAAAAAAACCTAATACGATGGATTAATTGGTTACGTGGACGAGGCTATTAAAATCTCGCTACACTTGTGAACCCGAGTTAGCCTAGGGTCGGTTGTGAGCGGGATTCGATCCCCTGAGCTTCTAAGCCATGCTGACTCGGAGTCTCTGGCTCAGTGTTAAGGCCACCCCGAGTCAGCGAGTCACGTGACCCCCCCCACACCCCTCCTCGACTCTCTCACGCCCGAAGACCTAAGCCCATGTGGCACCCAGACGCTCCCAGCCACGAGCTTCTTGCCCCTTGCCCATCGCAGCCACGTCTCACAAAATACACTCCTAGTTTCAGAGGTGGCTGGGCTGGCACTGCTGAGATCATGGGGATCGGCATTATCTCCTTCACACGAAACCGGTCCTGGGGCCTCCCCTAAGTCGACTCGGCCTCAAATGAGTACCTGGTGTGATTTGTAAAACATTGCCACGAGGGAGACAAAGGCGGCCACACCACCCCCTTGGGCACCGTGCCGGCCTTCATAGGTGCTCGCTAACAGCACTTGCCCCTATAGTCTGCTAAGGCTACATGGGGGATCTTTGGACATTGCACTTTGAGTAACACAGCACGCACATAAAGTGCCTGGCGGCTTAGTGCCAAATGACGGCTGTTATTGTTGCTGCATCTGCATGTGCGCGTGTTTGTGAGTATGTGCGTGTGGTGGGGCATGGTGTTGGCCACCCACCCCCTCGTGTGCCATTCCGGCCTTCACAGGTGCTCGCAAACATCACTTGCCCCACAATCTGTTAAGGCTACACGGGGATCTGTCTTTTTGCGTGTGATCATGTGTGTGCACGTGTGCGCGCGTGTGAGCGCGTGTGTGTCGTGCGTGTGAGCATGTGCGCATGTGTGCGTATGTGTGTGCTCGTGTGTCCGTGTGTGCGAGCGCGTGTGTGAGCATGTGCGTGTGTTAGTATGTGCGTGTGTGAGCATGTGCGTGTGTGAGTATGTGCGTGTGCGAGTTCCACCAGTGCGGCAATCCGATCCGCGCTGGAGCATATCCCTGCCGGGCTGGACGGCGGACAAGTTGGGTGTCCCTTTGCAGGAGCCATCTCAAGCCACGGCCCCAGCACCCACCTCGCCGCCCCCCCCCCCCCTCCCGTTGGACCCATGTCACACGTCGCGCTTTCAACGCTTCCTCGAGCACCTGCCTTTGTTCCTTGTTTTTGTTGTTGTTGTTGTCGGCAAAAATTGTAAAACAAAAAGGAAGAAAGACGAACTCTCACCGATCTCGTTTTTCTCCGCATCGGTGACGTTCCTGTCGGCCCTGAGAATGACTTTCCCGTCCATGTCTCTGCGGTCCATGAACAGCTTGTAGACATTTTCCTGCTGTGAATTAAAAAAAAAACATTAAACGAACACAATGCATCGAAAAATAAAACGCAGAGGCGTTGCTTTAATGAACGACGGCCTCCACATCCCATTTGAGCATTTGAGAACCCAATTCAAATGTTTTTATTCCCCCCCATTTAACGGCGACGGTGTCGCCAAGTGAAGTTTTAGTGATTCAGTTCACGCTGCGATTGCGAGAGAGTAATTGGCAAAAAATTAACCCGTAAAAACAAAGTTTTTCACTATAAATCCTTTATATGCGTGGTGGCTAGAGTCCTCTCGTCCTCTGGCTTGAGATGGCTGCCACCTATGGCTCAGATGATTGCCTGCCACCATTAAGCAATTGGTAATTAAATATAATTAAAAAATAATTTCCTAAAAAGTGTAAAGTTATGGAAAAAAAAATTAACGAAAATAAATTGTCACGCACAACGAGTCTGTGTGCAAAATGTCAGCTCGATTGGATCACGGGAAGTGGGTTAAAAAACGACCGAAAGATTTGCACGGTCGTAAGCGCGCAAGCAAGCAAGTGAACTTAATATAAAGGATTTAAAAATAAACTAAATTGAGCGAACTGCAAACTTTTCCTCTGCGAGCCGTCGACGGCTCCTGCGGTTCATCTATGGTGCGGCATGTTCACGTGACGTAACAGTAGTTCGCCTATGGTGGCGGTGTGTTCACGTGACGCAGCAGCGGTTTACCTATAGCGGCGTGTTCACGTGGCGTGGTGAGTTCATGTGAAGTGTTCACGTCGTGGCGTGTCCCCGTGATGCACCTGCGGCTCTCCTATGGTGGTGTGTTCACATGACGTGGCATGTTCACGTTGAGGCGTGTTCACGTGACGCACCTACGGTCCACCTATGGCGGCGTATTCATGTGATGCAGCATGCACACGTGACTCGGTGTGTTCACGTGAGGCAGCGTGTTCACGTGACCATTGGCCCGCCCCACCTGTATCGCTCAGGCACTCAGGAGATCTGGCCAGATGGGACCCCCCCTCATTAAATGTTATTATTGTTACAGGCCTCGCAGTCGTGCCGCTGTGCAGTAGTTATGGGCACACTGGAATCGTGATCGAGAGGTTCGCTGGTTTGATCCCATCTCCTGGCGTGGCAGTTGAAATTAAACGATGGTGCAGGTTTCTTAAAATCAACCACCGCCCATGTCCCTCTTTTGGGGACACACGTCTGGCTCCACTGTGAAGGCGCCCCCTCGCCTCCACAGGTGGTAAAGGTGCAGCCCTGCCATTGCTGGCTCGCTCGCACCACTGTTTGGTGAAAGGGGCCGACAACAGAGGCCTCCACTAGAGGCCTTGCATTCAGAAGAGGCCACCGCTAGAGGCCTTGCGGCCAGAATTGACCTCCGCTAGAGGCCTTGTGGCCAGAAGACACCTCAGCTAGAGACTTTGCCGCCAGGAGAGGCCATTGCTAGAGGCTTCGCAGCCAGAATAGACTTCCGCTAGAGGCCTTTTGGCCAGAAAAGACCTCCGCTAGAGTCGTTGCGGCCAGAATAGACCTCCGTTAGAGGCCTTTGTCGCCAGAATAGACCACTGCTAGAGGCCTTGCTGCCAGAAGAGACCTCCGCTAGAGGCCTTGCCACCAGAAGAGACCTCCACCAGAGGCCTTGCCATCAGATGGGACCTCTGCTAGAGGCCTTGCCATCAGATGGGACCATTGCTAGATTCCTTGCCACCGGACGAGATCTCCGCTAGAGGCCTTGCAGCCAGAAGGAGCCTCCGTTAGAGGCCTTGCCGCAGGTGGACGAGCGGCGGTGACAGAAACGCAACTGTCTTCACGGGGTCCTCACCTCCTCTTCGCGCGTCTGCGCCTCATAGTAGTCATCGTGCACCTTGTCGATGAGGGCACGGAACTTGCGGTAGCCACCAGGCTTGTGCAGCTCCTGCCGGTCCACCTTCTCCCTGATGGGCTGGTAGAGCTGCAGCAGCCGGCGCTCACAGCGCTGCCACGACACCTCGCTGTTCCGCGTGATCAGCTTCGCATATTCCCTCGTCAGCTCCACCTGATGGGGTGGGGGGGGGGGTGAGGGGATGGAGGGTTATGGAGGATAGGGGGGAGGTAAAGGGAGGAGAGAGAAGGAAGGTAGGAGGAGAGGGAGGGAGTGAGGAACGGGAGGGGTGGAGGGAGGTAGCAAGGGAAGGAAAGAGGTAGGGAGGGTAGGGAGGTGATGGAGGGAGGGAGGGGATGGAGGTGGGAAGGGAGAGGATAGAGTTAGGAAGGGAGGGGTGGAGGGAGGTAGCAAGGGAAGGAGAGAAGTAGGGGAGGAGAGAGGTAGGAGAGGAAGGGAAAGGTAGGGAGAGGAGGGAAGTAAAATAGGGATGCGAAGTAGGTAGGTAGGGAGGAGAGTGGGGGAGGGTGGCAGGGAGGTGGACACTGCCGTGGATGGTGAACGAAGGGAATGAGGAAGTGGTGATGTAGCTCAGGTGTGGCGTGCCGTGTGGAAAGAGCGGGGAACTTTGGCTGTGCATTATTACATAACCGACAAAACCCGGGACTCGTAATGTCCCGGGAAGAGTTAGAGATTTCCAGAGGGCAGAAGCTGCCTCCTCAACAAGGGGACGATCCTGAAAAAGCCAGAACCGGTGGCAACACTGTCTGGCTCAACCAAAGGGAAAACAAAGACTTGATTGAATGAATTGATGGACATGTGAACGGACGAACAAAGGCACAGACGAATGAACAGATGGATGAGCGAAGAACGAGCGGATGAATGAGCGGATGAACGGTGGATGAAAGGGGACGAAGCACGTCTCACCAGCAGCTCCTTCTCCTGCAGGTGGTCACGGTCCAGCATGGTGAGCTCGTGGTAGAGCCACACCGCAGGCTCCACCGCCTGCTGGTGGTACCCGTTGATGAGCTGCAAGGGCAGCGGCAGCTGCAGGAGACAAGGCAAGAGGCGCAGCCCTGCGATTACTCCCTCGAGTCGCTGCCTCCTTCGCGTGCTACAAGGAGAGCTCCTCCAGGAGGGAGTTCGTGTTGTCCTACTCTTCCACACTGGCGAGCAGGGCGGAGGAAGTGGCATTGTGGGGGGGGGGGGGGTTCTAAGCCCCAAGCACGCACCTCGAGGTTGGCTTGGGCCATCCTGGCAGCGTAGAGCGTCATGGCGGCCTGCTTGGCCTCACGGTTGGTGGTGGTGAGAACGGCGCGCAAGGCACTCTCGATGCACGGCACGGCGCGGCGGCGCTCAGCAGCCACGTACTCCTCCACGAGCCGCACCAGCGCTGAGCGCACGCGGGGCCGGGTGCACGGGAGATGGGATATGTGGACACAGGAGATGGGACATGGGAGATGATGTGGTATGGGGCATGGGAGATGGGAGATGAGACACGGGAGATGGGAGATGAGACAGAGGAGATGGGGCATGGGAGATGATGTGGTATGGGGCATGGGAGATGGGAGATGAGACACGGGAGATGGGAGATGGGAGACGAGACACGGGATGTGAGGTATGGAAAAGGGAAACAAGACACATGGCACGAGGAGGCAGAACCCCCGAAAATTCGACAAAACCCAAGCTGCCGAATCAGCGACATAACGCTCACCCAGGCCGGAGAAGACGGCGCCTTTGATTTGCTTGAGGCGCGCCGTGCCGATGGTGTACCCCGTGAAGGAGTTGGCCGTCTCCATGAACAGCTCATCCAGCTTGTCATCCGGAAGCTTCTGCAGGTTGAGGAGGCTCCGCAGGTCCGTGGGCTTGGGGAACATGAAGCACTTGCGCTCCTGTGCGAGAGTGGGAGGGCGGGGTGGGAGGGGCGGGGGAGGGGAATGGCAGGTGATTTCATAAGCCTCGGGGTGGTGTTGGGATGCGGTGCCAGTTGCCGCATGAGGCTAAATTGGGGCAGAGATTTAGCCAAATTCTCTGCTAAACCGAGAAAGAGATACATCCAAATAGAGCCAAACATGAGTCTAAACCGGGTTAGAGATGGAGCCAAACACAAGTCTAAACCGGGCAAGAGTTATAGCCAAACGTGACTATAAACCGGGACAGATATTTAGTCAAATTCGCAGCTAAACCGGGCTAGCGATTTAGACAAACACGAATCTAAACTGGGCTCGAGATATATCCAAATGCTTGGCTAAACTGGACTAGAGGTACAGATAAATATGAGGATAAAGCAATTAATGATTTTGCTTCTAGCCCTAGCCAGGGCTACAACTCTGACCCAGACCGACTCGAGCTATAAAATGGGTTAGGATATCACTTCTCGCATTCGCCAACAATTCTCGCCCTGCACACACCGGATCAACCCAACTGCTTTAAATCCAAGGGGAACAATCCATCATCGTGGTAATAATTACAAGGTTTTTTTTTTGTCGTTACACATATACGACACGTGTCGCTAATCCCGGCAATTCATATCGTAAGCTATTTCGGTCGACTAAAACAAAACACCACGACACGCATACGCTGAACTTCTTACAGTGGCCAACCGCGTGCTAAATTGAGCACGTGCAACGCAGTCGTCCGCGTCAAGTGTTTGACTTTTTCTTGTTACGCCACCTCTCGAGCCCCCAATTTGAGCTGCTTGCCTGAGCGTGCTTGCCCGCCAGAGGACACCACGCGAGCCCCCCCCTCCACCCCCATCTCCACCCCCTCCCCCCCCCCCAAAAACACCTTTTAGCTCAATTACACAGCCAACGAGCAGGTTAAAGCCCCCTACGACAAACGGCCAGAGGCGCCGGATGGGCCCAACCGGTGGCAAAAAGCCTTGGAAAGAAACCACCACCCGTTAGCTGAGTGCGACGGGGCGATGGGTGGGGGAGAGGGAGAGCCCAGACCCTGGCTGCTCTTGGTAGCGCTGACAGCAGCGACGTGTTTACAATAATTTATGGCGGGCGACACTTTTAATTTGGACGTCTAAATTAACAATGAGCCGCCCATAAAAAAGGCAGTGTACATCAGAGGTCGCAGACGGGTTTTGATTCCTTACCCGTACCCGTACCCGGCCGCACCATGGTCGCAAACGGGTACCCGTACCCGTATCCGGCCGTACCCGTACCCTACCCGTACCCGGCTGGGTACGGGTAGGGTACGAGTATCGGGTACCCGTTTGCGACCTCTGGGATGAAGCCATGTTGCAGGCGCGGGTGGGTTGATTCTAGGAACTTGAATTGTGAGAAGAGACAAGACGATGGGAAATGAGTGACAAACAGTTACTCACCAGTGACTCACGGTCTACCCGTACCCGTACCCGGCCACACCAGGGTCGCAAACGAGTACCCGTACCCGGCCGGGTACGGGTAGCCGGGTATCGGATAGGGTACGGGTATCGGGTACCCGGTTGCGACCTCTGGTGTACACCCCCCCACCCCATGGTAACAGGGCCTCATCGGCGGTGGGTCGCGTGGCATGGCTGTGGTTAGCGTACTACGCTGGCGACGGTGAAGGGACGAAGGTAGCGATGAGTTCGGCGGCCGCCCAAAAATTTGGAGGTGAATTCACGGAATCATCCGGCGTCGCTCTCAGGTCAATACAAATAACTGAGCGGTCGGATTTGTGAAAGGTCTCACCGTCATTGTCCCATGGGCATGGCTGAGATCGTTAGCTCGCCTACACTCGAGAACACGGTTTAAGCACGACCAGCTGAAACCCAGATACGAACCCGTGGTCTCAGTATTTATCTACTAATTGTTGTTGTGATTAATTTGCGAGCATGTGGATATTGTCTGCAGTTTAGCATTTTCTGGCCTCATGCTCGACCCATGATCGTGTACTGGAAAAGTGTAGGACTACCTGTGCGGTGGGTGGGATTAATTGAGGATTAGATGGGGTTTGTGACCAGGAGTTAGGGCCAAACATCAGAGTGAGGAGGCCGCTCGCTCTGTGGACGGGGCTCGTGTTTCAGTGGGCGTGGTCACGTACAAAGTGGGCAGGGCTGGCGCAGGGAAGGCCCGCACCGCCCACGGTGGCGGGATGTTAACTACCTCGCCAGGTATGCAGGAGGTCGTGGGTTCGATCCCGACTCGGACGCCTGCTGCTGTATATTTGGTGTTTGCATGGCCCCTCCACATTTGGAATCAACATCACGCGTTTACAGTAATTGGCTGCTTTCTCTATTTCCACACGACGATGATAGGCCACATTGTTGCACCATCATTTGTGAAAGCCAGGTCGCTTCTGAAAAAAAAAAAGTGAAGTGGATAGTTAGTTAGTCCTGGCCAGGTTCTTTTTTTTTTACCGACACCCACCTTGAAGTACTGGCACAGAAGCTGCCTCTGCGCGTTGACCTCATGGCCGTCCTCCTGAGGGTCGACGCGCATCTTCAGGAAGTGCTCCATGTAGTCGTCCGAGGTGCACGCCTCGCCGTTCACCTCCAGCTTCATGGTGAAGTCTCGCAGGCAGAGCACCAGCGAGGGGAAGTAGCTGCCGAAGTCCGAGCCAGGCTCGTGGGCGTTCTGCCGCGTGTCCGTGCGCAGGTGGTCCGTGAGGTTGAGCACGAATCTGCGTCGTCGTGGTGGTGGTGGTGGCCCACGCTGGTTAAGGGAAACGGCCGCATTAAAAAAAATCACATCATCATCCATCATCGACACGGACAAGATACCAAACGTCGCGGTGGTTCCAACGAAAGTTTCTCCCTGGTGGTCCGAAGCATTTGGAAACATCACGATGTTGTCACCGCCTCAACGTTTTCTGGCATCGTGTCAAACTCACGTTATGCGGAGGCAGAGGGTGGAGCTACCTGAGGAGTGGGCGGGGATATCTTGGTCGTGTACGGGGCTACCTGAGTAGTGAGCGGGGCTACCTCGTTAGTGGGCAGGGTTACCTGAGCAGTGGGTGGGGTTACCTGAGTGGGCGGAGCTAACGGAGGGGCTGCTAGCTCACCATGGGTTGTAAGAGTATATTTTTAGATTATCTCCGTAACGTTAAACATCAGCACATGACGCCAGGTCAAATCACAGTCAAAGGTCAGATCTACATCTTGACAAAACGCGACCGTTGTGATTTCCCCTCTTGGTGATGGGCGATTCACACGTGCGGACATACAAACAAGTGCTGCTAGCGCGCATCTATGGGTGGGTGGCCAACACCACGCATGGCAGCCTTTGTCTCCCCGGTGGCGATGTTTACAAGCCTAGGGTCAGACCCAGGACCGGTTCAAATAATAGTCACTGGCGTTGGCCGTGAGCGAGAATTGGAACTCGGTTCGCCGGGTTCGTAGCACAGCACACACCTCGTGGAACATCCCAGGACACAGCAGGGATGCATTGCTACGAGCCACGAGCTACGGGGCTGTATGTGTCCGTTCGTTTCGATTTGTGCCCAATTTAATATTAACTCCGCGCTGTCCTCAGCGGAGAACGATGATGGCTTTGCGATAAAGACCACTACACTACCGCTGCCCCATCACACTGCCGTTCCCCATATAGACACGACAAACACACGCGACTCCTGGCACCCAGACTGGCAGCCCTCTCTCCTCTGGCGGTGAGCTCTTCCCCTGGGCATGTTGCTTCTTGTTTTGTTTATATGAAGGTCGCTGTCCTCTTGCCAAACACCCGTATTTAGGAGGCCATAACTCAACGGCGGACACAAGATAAAAGAGGGGGGGGTGGGGGTTGTAAAATCCACACGTAGCTTAGCTGGTGACGAGACCGCGCCACATGGGTCATTGTGGCCCGCGGTGCGCCTGACGGAATGCTCGTGATGATAATTGACCGTAGGGGTCACGAGCCCGCCCCCCTCCTCCCTCCGCCACCCTCCGCCCCCCTTCGCCCCCACCCCCTTCATGGATGCGAAAAATCCGGACACCCGAAGCTTGCGGAGAAGGGGCCGTAATTTTAAAATGTCAAGGGGTCTCGACGGCGTGGCTGCTCGCGGTGTCCCGAGAAGACCTTGTAGCGTTGTTGAGCTCCAACGGGAGACTCAAAGCCAATGGCCACGAGGGCCGATTAGTCAATTATATCGCGATGTGTCACGCGACTCGATCTTATACGAGTTCCGTGCCGGGTATGAACCCTGCGTGTGTCACGCGACGGACGCCTCCATGGCTGCGTGAGCGAGAATGAGCAGCACCACCGAGTGTGGCTTCGGGGCAACGGGCGGAAGGCGACCTCAACACGTCAGCTCTGCGATGTCACCTTCTGGAGTGGCGTTCCTTCGCCATGGGGTTGATGCACTTGCTCCCTGTGAGAGTCACGTGACTTGACTTTGGGTTTATCTTATTTGATACAGCTATCGTGTTGTGACGGTTCTTTTATTTTTATTTTACTTTTATTAATTTTAATTTTTTATCTACGTTGGGTTGCAACCTAAATGCACGCGTGCGTGTATCCGTATGTACTTGGACATGTGTAGGTGGGGTAGAAATATGGAGCCCCATAACATGTGATAGAGATAAAAAAAACACGAATCTATAATCCGTGGAAATATTTTATGCGGATCTATATAGCATAGGATTCATCCACCCCCCAGGAGTCGGAATGTTTGAATCCCAGATGTCACATCAGAGAAGATCACCGGTCCGTCTTGCCAACATTCATTGGTCTGCAACTGCAGTCACGCGGAGTCGGGACACGCTATGATGATGGATGATGATGTCCTCGGGGTGGGGCGGCAGGGACAGCGTGCACCTGGGGGGGACGGTGACCTGTCAACCACGAGGCACAGCTTGCACCACCCGCCCCGGGAGACAGCACTCTCTTTGGGGATAATGTAACGCACACACAAAGACAAAGGTCCCCCCCCCCCGTATAGCCTTAGCAGACTGTTGGGGCAAGTGCCGTTAGCGAGTAGCGGCCTAGGAAGGCCGGCACGGCACGCGAAGGGGGTGGGTGGCAAGGAGCACGCCCGACCGCCTTTGTTTCCCCAATGGGTGACAATTTTTTGTACACACCAGTTACTCATTTGAGACTGAGTCGACCTAGGGGAGGCCCAGGAACGGTGTCGACCGTGAGCGGGAATCGAACCAGGTTCGAAACACAGTGCGCTAACCACTGCGCCACCGCACCCCAGATGCATACACGCACACACTCGCTCACTCAGCTACCCGCCACGCACCCGCTCCCCCCACTCAACACCATCGCGAAAAGACGCACGGCGCAGACGAGACGTGAGCGAGCACGGGTTGGTGGAACACACACAGAGACGATGAGTACCTGGCTCTATTCGTCCTACTCAAGCTTGAACACTGAATTTTTCCCATTGATCCCGACACTTAAGTTACGGTAAAAGTGACTCGAACATGATGCTGCTGCTGTCCACCACCAAACATTGAGGACGGAACGGACGGCGAAGCACAGGAGACAAATCTGCTTCCGGATGCTTCCGTGCGTAGGCGCTTTCGTTGAACTGCTTTCGCACCGAGCGTAGCCGCCAGTGCTATGCAGCGGTGCATCGCAAAACAGACGAGGGCATGGCAGCACCGGCCAGCGGCGTGGCTTATCGAGTGTGCAGGCGGTGCAACTGCACCGGGCGTGCGCGGGTCGTTAAGGGGCCTCAGGAGAGTGTGGGAAGAATTTGAACATCGGAGGGGCCAAGTGCAAACCACCCCGAGACGCCACTGGGCAAAGCTGCGGCGTTACTTAACACCCGTAGCAAGTGCAGCCGATACGTTCCCGATGTTTTGCCCTCTCTCCTCGTCGGTGGACGGGGGGGATAGTTCCACCTCGAGCACTCGGCCCAGCAGGGGCAGGGAGGGGGGAGAGGAGGGGGGGTCGTGTGTGCTTGGCTTGGTTTTGACCGCGTTGTTGGCATTCGGTTTGATGGAGCCAGCCAGAGGATTTAGGGACATCGTTCGGATTAAGTTTGACAGGGGACGGGGGAGATCTGATATATATCCTCTTTTTTTCAGGTATGACCCACTGAGCCTATATAGCTCTTGTTTAGAAGTGACCAGGCTATCGCACGTGATGGCTCAACTAAGTGGCTTATCGTCGTGTGGAAGTGTACAGCAGCAGCCAATTACTCTAAACGCGTGACGTTGATTCCAAATGTGGAGGGAAAAACCGGAGGACCCAGAGACAAATCAACGCGACCACTGGCTGAGAGACACTGAAAACTCCAGCAGGAGACAGGGTCCAAATCGAATCCACGACCTCCTGTATACCAAGTGAGGTAGTTAACATTTCGCCACTGTGACGCATAGACATCGTCCAGCGTCCATCGGCACAGCCCGTGCCCAAACAGCAGGGGGTGGGGGGGGCTGATACATTTTTGGTTACCTCTTTTTTCTCTTTTCATCATCATCATCACCACTTGATGTTATTCATGCCGCTCTTCCAAATCAGTAACATCTCGAGGCGCCCTGCAACAGGGTACCCCCCCAGGTAGCAGCTGCCCCTGTCTGCCATATGGTGAATGTAGCGCCAGCCAGCGAGTGGGCATTAGTCTCTGCCAGTAGCGTGGAGGGAGCGATGTTCCTAAGTGCCTTCGCAGTTTAAGTCATTCGCGAGCCATTGATCAAGTTCGGCATATTTTGGACCGTGACGCCGGAACAGACGGGACCTCCCCTTCTTCGGCGAATGTCACGGCGAAGTAGAAAGCGCACAGCCCCACGGTTGACCACGGCCGACCAAGCGCCAGGCGCCACCTCGTCAAACATCGACGCGACACCACCAAAGGAGGAGGGACCCGTTGTGCAAAACTTTCCACCTTCAATATTTTCGAGCTGGCAAGTTGGATTGACCACGGGGGGCGGCATACTGAGCTGGCTAAGCTGCCCGACTCGTGTTCCCACGTTCGTGCGTGAGAGCGCGCGCGCGCGCGCGTGTGTGTGTGGTCGGGAACGTCGTCAAAAAAATCTGGCAGATTGTGCGGCAGTGATGTCAGCCCCAGCCTCCCCCCCCCACCCAACGCCCACCCGCACGGCCCAGGCGCGTGGCGGTTCTGGCACGCGTGCCGATTTTCGTTGGCAAATGCTGGAGGTTTTTTTTTTGTTACCTCGGAAGAGAGGGAAAAAAATGATGTATGGGCGGATTAAGCCGTCTGGCTCAATCTGGCCGTACGTTCGGGTTTGACGCTCGGTGGTGGAGGAGACGGGCGCCCGATCCACGCGCGACCCACACTCTGGTGGAAATAAATGAATTCGCGTTTTTGTTGTTGATTTTTTGATGGACTCTAAAAGACTGGGAGTCAAATTCGGCAAGCGCTGAAGTCACAGCCACAGCCAGAGCTACGTTATTCGCTCTGAACACTGCGGCGTCTGATCATTCGCGTGTCAACAATTCCACGACAGGGCAGAAATGTTAAACGGCAGGCTGCCGTGGCAATGCGTGCCTTGCGTCTACCTGCTTTTAGAGGATAGAGTTGGTGGATCACGTAGGGACGCCACGGTGGCGAGATGTTAACTACCTCGCCTGGTATGCGGAAAGTTATGGGTTCGATCCCGATCCTAACGCCTGCTGTGTATTTGGAGTTTACACGTTCTCCCCGTGGTCGCGTGGATTTTTCTCCGGGTCCTCCGGGTTTTCCCTCCACATTTAGAAACATGCCATTAGATTGTTGTGCTGCTATAAATTTACACGCGATAATCCACTTCGTTGAACCATCATTTGTCGCCAGGTGGCTTCTGAAAAAAAATAGCTATATAGCTCAGTGGGGCGTTACCTGATAAAACAAATATAACTTTAAGATTTGTGAAACTCCCAACCGCCACAGGCTGCGATGTGGCCAAGCGACGGCAGTACAACAAAGTGGGTCTGTAAAATTTGTTTGTGTGGACCTCACATAAAAAAAATACCACATGTTTGTGAAATTGGCTAAAACACCAGAGCACATAACCCTCCGGCAAAACAAATATTGAGACTCAGCGCGGCTTACCAGGTGAAACATTAATCGCACCTTGTAATATCTCAAAGTTTCATTTTGACGCCACCGCCACTCGACCCAGGGCAGCCACCGAAATTATCTGCAGTCCACGTGCACTTGTACCGAAACATTTCCGATTGATAGTGGTGCTTGAAAAACACATACCACACTCGACCGTAAATGAGGAATGTGTCTATGCGCCTGCGTGTTTGGGTGGGTGAGATTGGGTGGGTTGTGTGGTCGTGTGGGCTGGGTGGCTGGATATTTGGGTGGCTGCGTGGTTGAGTGGCTCGGTGGATAGTTGTTATGGTGGATGGTTGGCAAGGTGACTGGGTGGCTGGTTGGTAGGAGGGTTAGGTGGTTGGGTGGTTGAGTGTTTGGGTGGTTGAGTGGTAGAGCGGCTGGGTGGTTGGGTGGCTGGTTGGAAATGAGGCTGGGTGATTGGGGAGCTGGATTGTTGGGTAGCTGAGTGGCTGGGTGGCTGGCTGGTTGGTTGATAGGGTGGTATGGAGGCTCAGTGGTTCAGTAAATTGGTGGCTGGGTGGTAGAGTGGTAGGGTGGGTCATTGGTTCATTAGCTGGGTGGCTGGGTGGTCGAGTGGTATGGTGGCTCTGGGTTGAGTATCTGGGCGGCTGGGTGGTTGGTGAGGTGGTTGGGTCAAGAGCTCATCAGTTTGGAGTCAAAGTGTCCCAGTGCTCAAATGAGTATTGGGCAGCACTCATCTCTCTTGGTGGACCCGAATTATGAGAATTCCACATTCCTATGGCAGGTATGAGTTGATTCAAGGTGTAACCACTGGCATCTTAAAAAAAGTAGTTATCATTGCATTAACCCTTGTGAGAAAATGGACTGAGTCATTACGTATAAATCCTGTACTATGTTATTAAATATGTATCAATGCTGTATCCATGCATTGTCCCCATGTGTAGTCACAGCCGAGTCTCAGCCTCATGCACAATCACAGGGGTTACAGCAGCAACATCAGAAATTAAATAGCATGCATGATGACATGCATACTAACCCCAAAACACCAGACAAAGCGTGATCACAAGGCCTAGGAGTAGATGTCACCGTGGACAAAAACCATTGATGCCACCACCACCGCCACCACGGTTCGCTACCAACGTCGTCATCCCTCCACCAGATCCCAAAAATTATGCACAGTCGGACACACGATCTCCAACACCTGCCCTTACAAGTACCACAACATCGGCCCTTAGGTCTCCTCTTCCCCTCGATCGCCAGACCCGTGGAGACCACTCCAATGCCCCGTCTCGACAACCGGCCCTCACCTATCCTGGGCATGTGCGTCCGACCCCAACACGAGCTTTTTTTGGCCACATCAGGAAGAATCTTCCCTTTGGCACGGACCGCACGTACCACAAGTACCACACAGACACACACACCGTGGCCACACCGCGGGAGGTCAAGCACCCTGACCCTCCGACACCCACATTGCTGTGCCAGAGGAATCTTCCCTCTCGCACGCACTGGATGCACCGCACAGACTGTTGGGGCAAGTGCTGTTAGCGGGCACTTATGAAGACCGACAAGGCACACGAGGGGGTGGGTGGCCGACACCACACATGGCCGCCTTTGTCTCCCTAGTGGCGATGCTTACACATCGCACCAGGTACTCAATTGAGTAGGCTGAGTCGACCTAGGGGAGGCCCAGCACCGGTTCAAATATCGTCACTGATGTTGGCCGTGAGCGGGAATCTAACTCTTGTCGCCAGGTCCGTAGCGCAGCACGCTAACCGCTACACTACCGCTCTACACAACCACACGTAGCACACAGACAGACACACACACACCGAGGCGACACCGCGGGAGGCCAGGCACCCGGTCCCTCCGACACCCACACGGGGGTGCCCGAAGGCCCTGCCGGGTGGCCACTATTTTTGATCGACGAAGGTCGTCGACCTCTCTTCCACACCCCCCCCCCGCCGCCCCCTTCGCGCTCGGTGTAAAGGATACCGTAGGTGCTCCAAGCCGTCCGTGCTCAGGATCCCCGTGGTGTTGTACACGAGCATGGAGCTGAGCAGCACGCTCATGACGAAGAGCCACGTGTCGTGGTCGTTGTCCGTGTCGCCTTCCTGCACAATAGAGCCGTCACCGCCGCTGTCACCGACACCGAGGCAAACGCTTGACGGCACCACCGACCGATGCATCCTTGCGACCGCTCCGAATCTGCGGTGCGCTCAGCTGCCATTCCCGTCAGCGGCGCTTGTCAGCGGTCACCCTTCGCGATGACGTGAGCCCCTTCCCCCTCACCCACCGCATCGCATCACTTCTAAGAATTATAAAAGCGCGAATTTCTCAACTTGAGCCGCAGCCGCGCGGCGGGACACTCCCCGTCGTGGGCTGTCGGTGCGGTTCGAACTGCCGAGAAAACTGTTTTTTTATCTTGTGACTCGCCCACCAATCGTGTCGGCATCGCGTCACGTGACAAGGACACTCTCGCATTCGGAAACATCTGCGGTAAGCAGAGGATAAACCGCGCGCGATGCACTGCGTAAATGATGTAAAGAACACTGGCACTTTTGGCGTTCTGTGGTCTGACACTGGTGAGACTAGGCCATAAAGACGTCTACGGTGTAGGCCAATTAGTTTCAAAGACAATGCATGTATTATCAAGGGTGCATGTATTATCAAAATATGTTTTGTTTGCATGTTCACCACAAGCACCATGTGTGGTTCATTCAGACTTGATTCTTTACAAAAGGTTTCTATTTGGTGTTTGAACTTATTACCACCTGTTTCATTGCCAGAAAGGGTAACATCTATTCTTATTATTCATTCTTTGATACTGGCAAAAAAAGGGTCCCATGCTAAAGAATTTAGATGGCTTTTTATTGATTGATTTTGAATTTCTGGAATGCAACTGTGGCCACTCGGAACAGAAGCGTGGAATGTAACGGGAGACTCGATGCGCGCTTCGCAAACACGGAGGAGGGGATCATCGCAGCGATGATGACAACGATGATGATCGTGACGACGATGCACCACCCTGCGACTCTGGCCGCAATCACGTGGCTCAACCAGCTCGTGGTAAAACTAAAGCTGTTGCTCTACACCGACATCGGTCGTACGAGGAGGAGGAGGAGGGAGGAGGAAGAAGACCCCGAACATGATCGCACGCAGCTATTTCTGCAGCGACTTCAAGCGACGTATTTGCGCTGGGGGCACACCTTTCAATCCCTCACGAAGATTGTTCGTCAAGTGTCAATCAAAGTGACGTTTTTTTAAGTCTCAGCGCTGACATTTAGCCACGTTGAACGTCAATGAACCGAGTTTCGTATGCACCGTATGTACTGTATGTACGTACGTTGAACTTCTTTCGCGCCGTACGTAGCCAACCGTGCTTATTGGAGGTGCTGAGTGTTGTTGAGTCTATGGGCAGTGATGAGTCTATGGGCAGTGTTGAGTCTATGGGCAGTGATGAGTCTATGGGCAGTGCTGAGTCTATGCGCAGTGTTGAGTCTATGGGCAGTGTTGAGTCTATGGGCAGTGATGAGTCTATGGGCAGTGTTGAGTCTATGGGCAGTGATGAGTCTATGAGCAGTGCTGAGTCTATGCGCAGTGTTGAGTCTATGGGCAGTGCTGTGCTGAGTCTATGCGCAGTGTTGAGCGTGTGGGCAGTGTTGAGTCTGGGAAGTGTTGAGTCTATGGGCAGAAATTAGTCTATGGGCAGTGTTGAGTCTGAGCAGTGTTGAATCTATGGGCAGTGTTGAGTCTATGGGCAGTGTTGAGTCAGAGCAGTGTTGAATCTATGGGCAGTGTTGAGTCTGGGCAGTGTTGAATCTATGGGCAGTGTTGAGTCTATGGGCAGTGTTGAGTCTGTGGGCAGTGTTGAGTCTATGGGCAGTGTTGAGTCTGTGGGCAGTGGTGAGTCTATGGACAGTGTTGAGTCTGTGGGCAATGTTGAGTCTATGGCCAGTGTTGAGTCTATAGGCAGTGTTGAGTCTGGGCAGTATTGAGTATATAGGCAGTGTTGAGTTTGGGCAGTGTTGAGTCTATAGGCAGTGTTGAGTCTGGGCAGTGTTGAGTATATAGGCAGTGTTGAGTCTACGGACAGTGTTGAGTCTATGGGCAGTGTTGAGTCTGGGCAGTGTTGAGTCTACGGACAGTGTTGAGTATATAGGCAGTGTTGAGTCTATGGACAGTGTTGAGTCTATGGGCAGTGTTGAGTCTATGGGCAGTGTTGAGTCTATGGTGCAGTGTTGAGTCTATGGGCAGTGTTGAGTCTATGGGCAGTGTTGAGTCTATAGGCAGTGTTGAGTCTGGACAGTGTATCGTAGTTTGCATGATGAACTGCTTTTGCGCCATACATAACCAATCGCGCTAATCGGAGATGTGGGGGAAGCACAACAAATTACAAAGGCAACAGAGCAGAGTTTGAATTTAATGGGATTTTTGTGTGCGGTCACAACGCCTGGGAACCCAGATTCACCCAGCCTTGGGTTCTCAAGACCGGTCTTGGGCATTAAGAATGGCTCTAAGGCAGTCTCTCAACTCAGAATCTTGATTTATACTGGAGGAATCCTATGAGCGATAAAGCTCTTTTCCCCCAGATGTCCAGTAGTTTCACAGATGGCCAACTCTCACCCATGAACCTTTGGGTGACCTCGCTCCTATGACTCGGAGCAATTGCGATGTTTCTAAGAGGTGAAGTTGAATCTCTAATGATCACGTTCGTACAGTTCAACACGTAATAGGCTTTCACAGCCACTATTATCCATAAAATAGGTTTTTGAGGTTAGGTCGCCTGATGATGCTGGTTGTAATTACCGGCGAAACGTCACATTACTCGATTTGTGAAATGTTGTTGTGGGTTTTACTCTCCAACACACAACAGGGGTGCTGAACTAATGACGAATTGGCACGTTTTGTGTTCCGTGACAAACCTTACTAATTGGCTGTGTCGAATGGTGGCGGGTTTAACAGCACATTTATATTCACGCGATCTCACCCAAAAAAAATCCGTTATGCAATTACAACAATAAAAAAACCGCACTCAACTATTTATATCATTATTATTTTACCCCAGGTAAGGCCCACTCAGCTGTACAGCCAAAGAGGCGGGGGGCGGGGGGCGGGGCTGGGAGTGGGGTGGGGTAATGGCCGTCCTTACCGGGTTGACCTCGCCAAGACCCTCTGTGTCCAGCAGCAGCAGGTGCTTCTTCTTGTCCAGCGGGTGCGGACGCGGCCAGACCCAGATGCCTTTGGTGTGCGACTTGATGGTGCTGCCCAGCATGAAGCCTGCGTGATCAACCCCCCCCCCCCACACCCCCCCCAAAAAAAGATGTATTTACGTGCCATATGTTGAATTTCTTTCGCGCCGTACGTTAGCCAAGCATGCCAATCGGAGGTGCGGCTGACAGGGCAACAAATATCTCCACGCCGTGTAGCTTTAACAGACTGTTGGAGCAAGTGCTGTTAACGGGTAGCACAATATGAAAGCCGGCATGGCGCATGAGGGGGTGGGTGGTCAGCACCACGTCCGGCCGCCTTTGTCTCATCCGTGGCGATGTTTACACATCACTTCAGGCTGAGTCGACCGAAGGGAGGCCCAGAACCAGTTCAGTAATTCGCAACTATTGTTGGTGGTGAGAGGGAATCGAACTCGGGTCGCCTGGTTCGAACGGCAGCTCGCTGACCACTGCACCACCGGACCCCACAATGGTACTTCCCAAAGACAAAGAATCGAACGTGTAGCCTGAACAGACTGTTGGGGCAAGTGCTGTTAGCGAGTAGCACATATGAAGGCCGGCACAGGCGCAGCAGGGGGTGAGTAGCCAGCACCACGCCCAATGGCAATGTTTTACACATCGCACCAAGTGCTCAATTCAGGCTGAGTCGACCTAGGGGAGGCCCAGGACTGGTTCAGATAATCGTCACCACTGGTGGTGGCCGTGAGCGGGAATCGAACTCGGGTACCTGCTGGGTTCGTAGCGCAGCGCGCTGAGTGCTATGATACCGCTGCCACACACACAGGAGCACACACGCGGGGTGAGAGTGACTTATATAGGCGGAGAGATCACCACACGCACAGGAAGACGAGTCTTACACGTGAACGCACGTTGTGTACGTGTGTATTTTGAACTTCTTTCTCACCGTACGTCGCCAACTCTGCTAATCGGAGGTGCGGGGAAAAGAAATAGACTAAACAGATAAGGCAGTTGTAAAGAAATTAATTTGTCAATCTAGATGATGACTTTAAAGTGCACGGCTCAAAGTGGCTTCCTCATATCGGAAGGAAGAGCGTTCCAGACGGTCGCAGAAGCGCATCTGAAAGCGCGTTATGCGATGAGCATCTTTCTTCGATGGTTAGCCAAAAGCCGTTGCTGCGAGGATGACCGGAGTTCGCATGATGATGGTTTATGGTCATTAACGAGGTGAGGACCTGCCCACGCCGTGCAGGTCATGGGGTCAATTTTGTGCACACCTCACCCCATCAGTGGTCAATTATCAGTTGGTGGAGGCGGGCGGCATAGACATTGGAGCATAGAAGTACGATTCAGTGCGGTAATTGATATTGGCTGATGTAGATGCACAGCAACAACTGCAATTTCAAATTCAGGTGAGTCAAGCCAGACAGCCGCGTTAGGAGTAAGTGGAGTGTATCTTCGCTGTGATGTTTCTCTCTTCATGTTTGTGGATCGGAGCATTGCGCCCTTACGTGTCGTACGGTCTTGTTCTGGATGACCACAGTCGCACCACTATTACTGGAGAGTTTTTAATTTCCATATGTGCATAATCAGGTATCCGCATCTGCTGCTGCCATGGTTTGTGCAGTGGATGCCGTTTAGAGGTAGACCATGAGAGATCAAATCCAGGGATCTTTCTACTGCCTCCCTCAGAGGGGATGACCAATCAAAGCTGAGCAAAGATCCATGAATACATGTCTGATCTCCCATCTGTCTCTTAACCCGAGCCTACAACACCTGGTACAGTACACACTGTATTCCAGGTACAGTACATATTGTAATACAGTACACACTGTATTGCCGTGGCGTCGCCCAATCACCGCCAGGAGCTTCCTCTCGTAGATGGCCTGACCTGCCGCTTTGTACAGGAATCAGAATATTTATTTATACCAGAAGAATCTTCGATGAGCTGTAAAGCAATTTTTCATAGATGTCCAGTAGGGGCATGGGCTCAGAATGGTGACAACAACACAGTACAAAAACAATTCGAATAGAGGAGTGCAAAGTATAGGAAAAGGTAAACAAATCACTGTTTAAAAAATATACAAATAAAACTAAACAGTGTTTTGTTATCTTAGCAGGTAAAGCCAACTGATCCATAATATAGGCGTGTTGGGTTAGATCGCGTAAATATACACGTGCCGTTAAACCCGCCAGCACCCGACACACCCAATTAGTAAGGTGTGTCATATAAACAGGACGTGCCAATTCGTTACTCGTGTGTTGGAGAGCAAATCCACAACATTTACAACACACCGGTGTGCTGTACGAGTAACGAATTGGGATGTTCTGTTTACGTGACAAACCTTACTAATTGGCTGTGTCGGGTGGTGGCGGGTTTAACGACACAATTACATTAAGGCGATCTAACCCAAAAAAACTCTATTATGGATGATGTTGGTCGCGAAAGCCTCCTTAGCGTATCGCTTCTTCTTTCAGAAGCGACCCGGCCACAAATTATAGCTCAACTCAGTGGCCTATCGTGTGGAAATCCTACAACGGAAAAATTATCTAAACCAGTGGCTCTTAACCTTTACCGCAGCCTTGCACCCCTTTGGTTCTCAATCGTTAAAATGATATATCATGCACAATGAATACATAGGGCTTGATGAAACAAAGTAGTTGTACTTACGTGCCCCGAGGTTCATTTGTGTCTCGATGATTTACCTTCTAAAAAAATCTGGCCATGTCTCGCACCACCAGAAAGGGCATCGCATACCCCCAGGGGGTGCAGCAGTGCACCCCAGGTTAAGAACCACCGATATGAACGCACGTCGATCTAAATGGAGCATAGAATCGTTAGTTCTAAAAATATCAATAATCGGATGACCGTTGAGTCTGTGGGCCATGTTGAGTCTAAGGGCAATGTTGAGTCTATCGGCAGTGTTGAGTCTATAGGCAGTGTTGAGTCTGTGGACAGAAATTAGTATTTGGGCAGTGTTGAGTCTGTGAGCAGTGTTGAGTCTGTGGGCAGTTGAGTCTATGGGCAGTGTTGAGTCTATGGGCAGTGTTGAGTCGAGGGGCAGTGTTGAGTCGATGGGCAATGTTGAGCCTGTGGGCAGAAATTAGTATATGGGCAGTGTTCAGTCTGGCTTCCTTCAAGCAGTGTAAGTGAGTACACACAGAGCCAGTCAGTGGTAGTGATGAAGATGGGTGTTAAACGTGGCCGGTATGCGACAATGTGCCGCACAGAGCGAGCGCTTCTACGAAAAACCAGGCACGTACGTGCACCCGGCACTTCTCAGAAGGGGGCTCCTATTACTGGGATGTCACCGCTCAGGGGCAACGTGGGGCAGTGAGCGAACGTGGACCTGCTGTTGCCGCTACTGCTGCTGGTGGTGGTGGTGGAGGGCTGGTAAGGTTCAACACCGGGAACATCTACATTCATACGTTACGCGATTTCCATGGGAACTATCCAGGAACAAACATCAATCACCCCTCCTCCCCCCCCCCCTCGTATAGCCTTACAGACGGTTGGGGAAAGTTGCTGTTCGCGAGTAACACCTATGAAGGCCGGTACGGCGTACTCTGGGGATGGGTGGCCAGTATCACGTCCCCCCGGCCGCCTTTGTCTCCCCAGTTTACCCATCACTTCAGGCTGGGAAGGCCCATGGAACCAGTTCAGTTATTTGCCATTATTGATGGTCGCCGGGCTCGTAGGGCACGCGTAGGGCAGCGCGCTAAGGTTACGTCCCAAAGACAAAGATCCCCCGTATAGCCTTAACATACTGTTGGGGCAAGTGCTGATGGGGTGGGTGGGCAGCACCACGCCCGGCCGCCTTTATTTCCCCAGTGACGATGTCTACACATCGCACCAGGTACTCATTTGAGGCTGAGTCGACCAAGGGGAGACCCAGGGCCGATTCAGATAATCGTCACTGATGTTGGCCGTGAGCGGGAATCGAACTCGGGTCGCCGGGTTCACAGCGCAACGCGATAACCGCTACACTACCGCTTCCAACCGTACACACACACACTGACACACACACACACTGACACATACACACTGACACATACACACACACACTGACACACACACACACTGACACATACACACTGACACATACACACTGACACACACACACTGACACACACACACTGACACATACACACTGACACATACACACTGACACACACACACTGACACTGACACACACACTGACACATACACTGACACATACACACTGACACACACACACTGACACACACACACTGACACATACACACTGACACATACACACTGACACACACACACTGACACATACACACTGACACACACACACTGACACTGACACACACACACACTGACACACACACTGACACATACACACTGACACACACCCACTGACACTGACACACACACACACACAGCGGGTGTGCGTATATCCAATGTCTGTCGTATGAAGCCAATAATCTATGAGCGATGTAGGCCAGATAGGCACATGGGTAGAGTGGGTGGAGCTTATACAATAAGTACTTTGCGAACAAGTCGACAGTGGTTTGGCCTTGGGATATATATTATCTTCCACGCCTGAGGAATGTAGAACTTCCATCACTGGCTTCAGCTCGGGCTATAACGAGAAAATCAGCCCTAACGCCTGCCGCAATGCTCATAAAGGTGCAGCTAATCATTTCCGTGATTCGTAATTAGTTTATGTATGTATGTTGAACTTCTATCGCACCGTACGTAGCCAACCGTGCTTATAGGAGGTGCGGGTATTATATCAATAGTTATATATAACCCTCCACGACCCAACAGAGCCAAGTCAAACCAGATTTGTTGCGCCACGCGGGTAAACATGCCGAATGATTTGGTTAATTTAACGCACAGCAGGCTTTCGCGAGCAATATTATTCATAAGAGGGCTTTTTTCGGGCTAGATCGCGTCGACATGGGTGTGTCGTCAAACCCTGCCACCATCATCTCAGCCGGGAGGAGAGGAGGAGTGGAGGAGGAGGGATGTTGAAAACGCGAGTCCAAAATAAAAGTTGACAATTTTGTTTGAATTCCGCGTTTTCGCCGGCAGACTTTCGACTTCAGGTGTTGTTCAACCAAAGCTGGACTCTCGTCCGCGTGGAAAGCGGAACGGTCGTCCAGTTCCCACGTAAGACAACCCGAGCCCTGGCAACCCCCAACCCCTACATCCCTCCCCCAGCGTAACCCGGTAAGGTGGCACCGCGGGACGGTCACGGCGCCTGAGGTTGTGGGCGACACGGTAAATCACGCCGGGACCGTGGCGGCGGCGGCTGCTACTGTGCCGGGTTTCGGGGGCAGAGGAGGAGGAGGAGGAAGGGGGAGCGGACGGACGGGCTGGAGGGAGCGAGCGAGCGAGAGAGGTCCGCATACACGTGCGTGTGACAGTGGCAAAGCGGAGCAAGCGACTCCCAATTATGCGCCGACCGCGCGTGATTTATGTGGCGTGGCCCTCTTTAGAAAGCTATTTTGGCCGACCCCCAGCTCTTTCACATGCGCTGGGAGAATGTAGCCGTGAAATGCGGCAGAGCTTTTGCAGAAACAAAAACGCAGCAGCAGCAAACGCAAAAAAAAACGCCGCAACCGGTACCGGTTTGCTTCGCTTCCGTGCCTAATGCCTTCCAAACTCACACCATCCCATTGCAAAAATCCCGCACGATTTATTTTTGCGCGAGCGCCAGGGAAATATTTTCAGAGGCAGGCGAGAGTCCAACGATCCCAGTAAGCTTTCGGTCATTTGCTACTGAAACGGGAGGACCTGGTGTTAATCTGCAACAATTAATAATGATATATCCTTCCGGCTCAAATATTGTTCGGACGTTCATTCAGATTAACTTTTCTTGGTTTTTGTCCGCAATTAGTTGAGCCCTCTCTTTGGCTGTGTTGCAAGCGCGACTTGCATCGCATCAGCTTGTGGTCGCTTCCTGTGTTGAATTCGTTGAGGGCAGAGATGTCTCAACCCATGCATCTGGGGTTTGTTCCGCTAGAATGAAGTACATCTGTATCGCAATGTATATATTTCTTTTCTTTCAGTTTCGCATTGCACCACTGTCACACGACGCACGATGGCCTCAGCTGCATGGCGGGTGAGCCAGGCATCACGCGAATTAACGCCAGAAGTAGCTCTGCGGGCCAAATCTCGAACACAAAGGGTCGCCCTGCCATGCCCTGTGCGGGCTTCGAGTGGGCTCTATGGCACTCACGTGACGACACCGATGATGGCACAATCGGTATGAAATTGAAGTCAATTACAACAACAACAAAAATCGCATTTCTTACATAACAAAAATTACAATTTTTTTTCTCTCGTTCTTCCGATGCCGGAAACGACAGGAGGTGAGGGGCAGGGGGGGGAGTGTGCATGGCGAGAGTGGCGACTCTGCAGGGCACGCACCTGAGTTGGACCCGGCGAGGCGGTTCATGAGGAACGACTTGCCCGTGCGGATCTTCCCCACCACGGCCACGACCACCACGGGCTTGTCGATGGCGGCCACGATGCGTGCCGTCTCGGGCACCACGTAGAAGTGGCCACTCGAGTCGCTGAGCAGCAGCGGCAGGGGCGCCTCCAGGCCTCGCTCGGCGACCTCCATGCCGCTCCCCACAGAACGGACGCGGTGGCACGGGTTTGATGAGCGTGGCACGGCGGGTGATGAGGGTGGCACGGGTGATGATGAGGGTGGCACGGCGGGTGATGAGGGTGGCACGGGTGATGATGAGGGTGGCACGGGTTGATGAGCGTGGCGCGGTTGAGGAGGGTGGCACGGGTGATGAGGGTGGCACGGGGTGATGAGCGTGGCACGGCAGGTGATGAGGGTGGCACGGGTGATGATGAGGGTGGCACGGGGTTGATGAGCGTGGCACGGTTGAGGAGGGTGGCACGGGGTGATGAGGGTAGCACGGGTGATGAGCGTGGCACGGGGTGATGATGAGGGTGGCACGGGGTTGATGAGCCTGGTACGGGTGATGAGGGTGACACGGGTTGATGACAGTGACACGGGGTGATGATGATCGTGGCACGGGTGATGAGCGCGGGACGGTGGCGACGGTGGCACGGCGCTCACTATTATAGCAGCGCGGTAACCCCGACACCGCCTGCCTGGCCACCCCTCAAGGACGGCCTCTTTCTTGCGTTGATCATCACAGAGGCCGCTACACCAAACCGCCCCCCGCCCCCCGCCCCACTAACTCCTCCGTCGCCACAGTGCCATGTGGGGTCACAGAGGCCACAAATGTGTGGCCATCGTTTTTATTCTCTCTCTCTCTTTCTGTCTCTCGCTGTGCAGCGGTGGGGTGGGCTCAGAGGGTCGCTCGTGTCGGTGATGTGCTTTTGGTGGCTCGATGCCACCACGAGGTGTCGATTTCGAATGCCGCCCTGACACGCACAGACACACACGCCGGAGCAAGTGTTGTTGTTGTTGTGTGTGTGTGCGCGCACCCGCATATGACTTGGCTAGTGACGAGCGGTGGTGTGGCTGTTAGCGCGGCGCTGCGCTACGAACTCGACGACCCGAGGTCGAGTCCCGCTCACGGCCAATACCCAGTGACGATTATCTGAACCGGTCATGGGCCTAGCCCTCGTGTTTTGTGCCGGTCTTCATAGGTGCTCGCTTACAGCATTTGCACCAACAGTCTCTTAAGGCTACACGGGGGGATCTTTGTCTTGTGTAAGGTCGTTCAACAAAAGCCGGTTGAACCGAAAACCGTTTTAAAGATCAATTTTCTGCGTTTCCCAAAGGCTGGGACAGGTAATCCTCTCCAGGGGGAATTGATTGAGCAGTTGGGAATTGATAATTGATTGAACCTGTGGGAATTAATGAAGTGATTGAACCGGTAGGAATTGATTAATTGATTGAACCTGTGGGAATTGATGAATTGATTGAATCTGTGACAATTGTTGAATTGATTGAACCTGTGGGAATTATTGATGTGAATGAACCGGTGGGAATTGATTAATGTATTAAACTGGTGAGAATTGATTAATTTATTGAACCGTGGGAATTGATGAATTGATAGAACTTGAGGGAATTGATAAATTGATTGAACCTGTGGGAATTGATGAATTTATTGAAACATGGGAATTGATTAATTGATTGAACCTGTGGGAATTGATTAATTGATTGAACCTGTGGAAATATATGAATTTATTGAACCTGTGGGAGTTGATTAATTGATTGGACCGGTGGGAATTAATTAATAGATGAAACCTGTTGGAATTGATTAATTGATTGAACCAGTGGGAATTGATGAATTGATTGAACTGATGGGAATTGATGATTTTATTGAACTGATGGGAATTGATGAACTGATTGAACCGGTGGAAATTTATGGATTGATTGAACTGGAGGGAATTGATTAATTGATTGACATGCGTGTGCAAAAACAAACCACACGGCGGCCCAATTCTGCTTACTTGCTATATTTAAATAAACAAATAAAATCAATAAACACACCGCGCCTAACATGTTCTCACACGTGAACGTGACAAGAGACCCGTGCTCAGCGTTTCCAAGTTGTTACTTGGCAAAAAAAAAAACTAAATAAAAGTAACTTGGAACTTTACGCCGCTGATACCAGCTTGTGGGCCTGCTTGTGAGTGAAAACTGCTGCTGTGAGAAGCGCCCGCGCGCTGCTTAACATCAACGCCTGGCACCGTGGCTCGTGGAGCAGACTGCAGCGTACAAGAGGAGACTGCAGCGTATCATTCGAACTGCTGAGAAGGTGATTGGCTGCAATCTGCCTACCCTCGAGGACCTGCACACCTCGAGGACCCGGAGGCGAGCGAAGAAGATTGTGGCCGACTCCTCCCACCCTGGACACTCTCTGTTCCAGCTACTCCCCTCCGGCAGAAGGCCGCGGTCCATCAGGACCAAAACCTCACGCCACAAACACAGTTTCTTCCCATACGCTGCTGGCCTCATCAACAAGGCCAGGGGCTCAAACTGACTTTAACGCTCAAACTGACTTTAACACTCAAACTGACTTTAACACTCAAACTGACTTTAACACTCAAACTGACTTCAACACTCAAACTGACTTTAACACAATATCTGCACAATGACACCCTGCCATATTTGCACTATGTTACCCAATTTGCATTTTTGTAATTAAATATTGTATATTATAGCTATTGTATATTTTAGATTTTATTTTATGCAATATTTACATACTTTAGCTCCGTAGTATTAGTTAGACTTGTACCTTTAATATAGTTAGACTATAAACCACTTATTTAAGTTTCGATTTAAAGCTTTCGTGACTGCAGGGATTCATCTTCTTGGTTCTTTCGGGTAAAGTCACGTAGAATGGAAATAATAAGATAATAAGATTCCTATATGTTGAATGTATGCACCTTCCGGCCAAAGTAAATTCCTTGTCTGTGCGAACTTTCATGGCGAATTAAACCCTTTCTGATTCTGATTCTGAGACTCATCGACTACCCCGCCACTGCCTCACACAGCTTTGCTCTGCCTAGACAACTGTGGTGGTTCCATCAAACGATTCGGGTAAACAGGAACTGGTCACTGCTGCGCACACACACCTCCTCCCTACACAAATTGAGAATTACAAACAGCCAACACATGTCATGGGACCTTGTTTTGCTTTGTACTGTTCGCCTTTTGGCTTTCTCTGGTCTGAGACTGGTGAGATTATTCCATAAAGAAGACTGTCTCTCTAGTGTAGGCCAATAAGTTTAAAAGACAATGCTTATACAATTATCAGAGGATGTTTTGTTTGCATGTTCACCATATGTACCGTGGGTGGTTAATGCAGAACTTGATTCCTTGCAGAAGGTTTCTATTTGGTGATTAAACATCATAACACTTCCTGCTTTTCTGGCGAATTGCCCGATGATGCTGGATGCAATTACCAGCGAAACGTCGTACTCAAAAATTGTAAATGTTGTGGTTTCACGCTTCAACACACCGGTGGGCTAAAGCAGTGCACTATTTGTCTTTTGTCAACGTGACACTGTTTTACTGATTGGCCGTGTCGGGTAGTGGAGGGTTACGACACATTTAGAAATAACGCGATCTAAACCCAAAAACGTTGATTATGGACCTCTTGCTTTATTGGCAGAAAGGGTAAAACCTATTGTTACAACCCACACAGTGTGACTGCAGCCAACCAGAACCCGACAATGGAGCCACCGTATCGCGAACCAACTGCATCCTAAGCCTGGCTCTATGGCGGACTGAGCAGTATTAGTCGCGTGACTCCCCAAGCTATCGCATGGCTCACAGACTTAAAATTGTATGCGTGAGTCCCACAAACTTGCCATGCGCTAAACTCGCAGTGGTTCTTAACCTGGGAGTGCGTGATGCCATTTTTGGGGGTGCGAGACATGGACACATTTTTTTAGAAGGTAAATAATCGAAAGAAAAATTAAGCTCGGGCCACGTAAGAACAACTACTTTGTTTCATCCCAGCCCTATGTATTCATTGTGCATGATATATTTTAACGATTGAGAACCAAAGGGGTGCAAGGCTGCGGTAAAGGTTAAGAGCCACTGGTTTCGATTATTTTTCTGCTGTAGGATTTTCACACGATAGGCCACTGAGTTGAGCTATCATTTGTGGCCGGGTCGCTTCTGAAAGAAGAAGCGATGAGCTAAGGAGGCTTTCGCGACCAATATCATCCATAATAAAGGGGTTCTAGATTTGAAGCTTTCGTGACTGCAAGGATTCATATTCTTAGGTTGTTTCGGTAAAGTCACGTAGGTAAAATTTTAAAATTAATGAAAGTAAAATAAAAAATAAAATTAAAATCACGACATTTCGGAGGCAACACAAGCTTCCGTCTTCAGTTGGAACTGTTACAGTACGCTTGCTGTATCAAGTAAATGAGTTTTGGGTTATATTGCGTTAATATAAATAAAAATTAATCGAAAGGACAAAGTAAGCACGGGGCACGTAAGTACAACTAACTTTGTTTCATCAAACCTATGTATGTATTGACATCCTACTTTGTTTTGTGATTGAGAACCAAAGGGGTACAATGCTGCAGTGAAGGTTAAGAACCACTGTGGCTCGCTCACGACATGGGCTTTGCTGCCACCACGTGGACCGATCCTTCACGTGAATGTCAACAGGTAAGGATTGCCACCCTTATCCTGGTTCTCCCAGGATCGACTTGCTGGGACATTGTCAGTTGCGTAATAATGATGATGGCAATAATAATAATAATACACCACTTCAACACGAAAGTATTTGCACGTAGTGCTCCCCAATTCGTTCCAGTTATTTTTTCTACAAGAAATATCTCGCTCAGAGAAGGCAACCGAATTCAATGTGGGTTTGTGCCCCCACCCCCCACCTCCATTCTCGTTGTACTTGGCATCACAAGATGCCTCTGCAGTTGTAAATGCCGGCCGGAGGTGATAACAAATAGAAAAGTTTGCTCTGCACGTTTTAGACAGAGGCCAAATAGGGACTTAATCTGTCTGAGACCCTCTCACTATCCCCTATCATCTCCAGTCGCCAATTTTCCACTGCAGAGGCGTCTTGCGGCACTACTGGCATTATCGCCACAGTCGACTGGCAGGTTGCGTGTGATGGTGGGGTACAGTGTGGGTGCTCCTGCCTCTTTTCTAGACGTTTTCCTGGTGCTGAAGAGTAGGACAAGTACCCTATAAGAAAGGTGCTCTCTTTCTAGAGCACGCTTGTTAGAGGCCCCCTTCCGTCAGCAATTTCTTGAGCGAGCGTTTGCGTAGACGCGAAAAAGAAACTCGGTTCATCTGAAAATAAAAGGCCAGACATATTTTGAAAAATAACTTCGCATCGTTTTCAGTTGTCAATGCCACTGCTCGATAAAGGCAACCCGGCGTGTCAGTCATGGGGAGTGGGGGTTGTTTGACCTTACTTCACCGCGGCCATCAGCGTGGCTTGGTGAAGGGGAACGGTGGAGGGCAGCAAATCACTCGGCGCTGTTTTTCACCATAGCCGCGGGATGGAACTTAGGTCGCCCAGCTGAGTGCGTAGCTGAGTGATAACTCCTTCCTCTGAGTATTCCGAGGTCAAGGCCTGATGCCTCCCAGGCGTCCCCTTCCCCTGGGCCCCTCTACCCATCTCACTTTCCTCCACCAATGTTAAGGTCAGCG